TGCTAAACTGGCATTAAAGTAAGCTTATGCTTTATTCTTTCTTATACTTTTCCTTTTTTACTAAATGAAAACCCACTGAATTCAGAGAGAGAGAGAGAGAGAGAGAGAGAGAAGAGAAGAGAGAGAGAGAGAGAGAGAGAGAGAGAGAGAGAGAGAGAGAGAGAGAGGAGAGAGAGAGAGAGAGAGAGAGATCAGAGAGAGAGAGAGAGAGAGAGAGAGAGAGAGACAGAGAGAGAAAAGACAAAAGAACAGTGATGTCAACCAAAACCTTCCCCCTCCCTAATCCTACCTTCTCTTGCAGCAAAGGCAAGACCTTGGTGAGGGTGATGGTGTCCTCCTGCCGCAGACATACAAGCATGGAGCGCAGGAGTGTCGTCACATCCTGCCGCAGCTTCTTCACGCCTTCTACTGCCGCCTCACTCGCCCACGCCTTGTCTCCACCACCTGGGGTCCTGCGGGAGCTCTTGGCTTTCTGGAGCATACTGCCAATGGAAGGAGAGGAGGAATGAAGAAGGAACAGAAAGCATGACAAATAACAACATATAGTAAAAAATAATTAACAATTAAAAAATAAATATAACAACAATAAGTGTGTGTGTGTGTGTGTGTGTGTGTGTGTGTGTGTGTGTGGTGTGTGTGTGTGTGTGTGTGTGTGTGTGTGTGTGTGTGTGTGTTGTGCCGTGTGCGAGTGAGTTTGGGTGTGTGCCTGGGTAAATCCAAGACAGGTATAAATAAAAATCAATAACCTTAAAAAAAATCCAACCTAGACTGAGCATCCTACTCACTTGACTAAGCCTCCATTCTTATATCCGTGAGAGTGGGCACTGAAGACCCCACAAGTAATGACATCATAGAATCCTGAGCGGCGTAGTGACTCATTCTGCGCCCAAAGCCTCTGGAGGTGGAGGTTCACAGGTGCCATTTCGATGGATGACTCGTATTTGCTGCTACTCTTCTTAAAGCTTGAACCTGCATGGGTGGGAGTGAGGTATGGGGGGGGTGGGGAGAGGATGGGAGTTGTCATCATTTCAGTTTGTTTGAAACCCCTCTGATATAATTTTATATCACTAATATCACTATGATTAGATCTTATTCTAATACTGTTTAATGTGATCTTTGTCAAAAGGGGCAGAGATGGGATGTACAAATGTCACTGGTTTTATTTCAGTTTACACCTGGTAGGTCTTAACACCTTCCATCAACTACTAGAAACAACAGAAAATTTCCTGTACTCCCAGACCCCTCCCCCCTTATGCTTCCTAGCCTTCCCTCTGCCCCTGTACACATAATCCTCCCCCCTTCTCAATTACCAGAATGTGCTGCAACATCAAGAGTGTCTAGGGCCATATTATAGATATTGATGAGTGTGACATGTTGGTTGAGGAGTGCCATCTGTCTAGTGTGCCACTGGTCTGAAAGGTCACCCAACGATGACAGCTCCTCCTGCCACCGACGCTCTTCTGAGATCCATAGCCGCCTGAAGAAAACATTGAATGAGAGAAGGATAAGAGACTACTGGCATATCTATTTTGCAAAGGCATGAAAACTTACAACAGCTAAAGTTTTCTTGTAAGGTTATTATCATTATCATTACCCTAACAGCAATTTGTCATATAACAAAATAAATTAAATAATAAAGCACAAGACTGACAGCAACTGCTGTGGGAATGTGAAGCAGTATCTGCTCTCAGCCATGACTTCCAGCACAGCGATGTCCCCCCCGAGGCCCGAGTGGAAACGGAAGGTGGCCATGGAGGGGTTGTCATAGAGCAGGCTGAGGTGGCCTTGTGTCGGGTGCCGCGTCTTGGAGCTCAGGCGTGGCGGAAGTGACTGGGTTCGCCGGTGGCAAGCCACCACAGGTAAGGGAGCCTGGGCAAGATAGGAAAGTATATTAACTTGATACTGAAAAGTGTATATATAATAGAAAGAGGTGAAGAGGGATTTTACCTTTCTTTTTTCTCTTCATATAGCTAAAAATATTACTCCCTAAAAGAAAGACATACAGTTCAAGAGCAAGTTCACTTATCTACTCTCCTCAATGAAAGAAAAAAGAAAAAATCTATATCAAGCCTTATCATCATCACATCCCACAAATAAAAAAACATGACGCCCACAAATGCAAGATAACTCACAGGCTGGTGATGTGGTGTGGCATTGCTGGGCGTGTGGGAGTTAGGATCAACAGATTCCGCCTCGAGGGTCCAGGCAGTGATGGTGATGAAACCCACATTCCGCCCAAGAGGTGACTGGAGGCTCAGGCGAGATCGGCCTGTCTCACGGAGTTCTCCGAGACTCACCTGTCATGAGTGGAAGGAGTTAATGATAATTTGAAAGAAATGAAAACCATGTGGAAAGATTTGTTATAGCTATTAAAAGTTTACATTACTTGCTGCAAGGAAGGCATTTTTCCTTTTCAATTATACTCTCCCCTAAAAAGTTATTGGTTAACAGAGATTGAAGAGCAAATCCATACAGTTCATGAGATCATGAATCTTATATATCATACATTTAACAGAGCTTACATTTCTCATCATCCAATCTCCTAAGATTCAAAAGCTTAGTGCAAAGTATAGAAAAGCTAACATGAACATCCAACTTACATGTTATCCCACACACCTTCAACCCTGGAGAAATTAATTAAATAACTTATAAACAAACAAAAAACAAACCAATCTCATCAATAAACAGGTTAGACAACAGATCTCAAGTAATTCTGCCCAAACAAAACACTGTCAATAATCCAGCCAATGCAAAAAACTCAACTTAACTTTACAAACAACTCAACCCAAACAACACTACTCAATTTGACCCAAGGTATGCAAAACAATCCAAACAACCTAACTAAAACCAACCCAAACAAACCTAACCCAACTCAATTCAAGCCAATCAAAACAACTCACAGTGGCTTGTCCAAGCTGCGTGCTTGTGTTGGTGACTCTTTCCCTGACATCGTAGACAGCCAGTCTCACTTGTGTGGTGGTGTCCAGGCCATCTGTTTTGCGGAAGCTCACAGTCGACAGGAAATTTGGATTACTCGTTCTCTGTGCAAAAAATATTGATGATAAAGATGGTGATGGTGATAGCGATGGCAATGGCAATGATGATGATAAAAGTAAATATTGGTAATGACAAACAATGACAACTTATGATGATGATGATAACAATAACTGATGAATAGAAAAGGTTGAGTACAATCTTAGATTTTCTATTCTTAGTTTCCTCAATACAGATTGTACAATTTTTTTCTCAAATAGGATAAAGTGAAAGCAAAAGGATAAAAATATCTTAAACACTAATAAAACAACTAATGGAACCACAAGCTACAACCTGTCTGATTACTGAACAACTGTCAATTCATTATATTCAACTAAGAGCTTCACACAATATACTTCATCACACTGACTTTAATACTATTTTCTGCAGTAATCTTACTAAAGCCAATACAAACATGTATGATTAAACAACTATACCATCCAAAAAATAACCCCTACTACACACACACACATGCATACATGCGCATGCACGTACAAACGCACACACACGCATGCACGTACAAACACACACACACGCACACACACATGCACTCGCACTCGCACTCAAACACACATGTGCACACATACACAAACACACACAAATGCAAATGCAAGCACACTTTGAAAAAGAAATGAATATATAACAATATCATGAATGAAAAAATAAATGAGCAGTGTATGAATACCTGAAAAAAAAAAAAAAAACTGATTGCACATCCATATACATACACAAGACTACCTAAACCACAGCCACAATCCATACCCCTAAACCCACCTCAATAACCTCTGTCTGCGCATACTGTAGCCAGCTCTTCTGTGGGGCATTAAGGACCTGCACTGTGACCCTTGGAGACGGGGGCTGTCCATCACCGTCGCACCGCAAGTTGTCACACGAGACTGAGATCTCCAAAAAGGGCGGCTCATTCACGTCTGGTAAGGACGCGGGGAGAGAAGAAAGGAACGTAAAAAGAAACAAGGGAGGGAAAAAAAGGTGAGATTTTTGGGTATATGTATACATATAGATAGATACATATGAGTCAAAAACTATTTGTCTTATATTTTCTTTTTTTCTCTTTCTCTTCTCATGCATGCAGCATGCAAAAGGCACTGCCAGGAAAGCATATCCGTTTCCCTAAGAATCTTTTTCATTTGTTATTTCTATCTTTTTTCTTCTCTCTTTCTCTCATCCTGCTGTTTATTCTTTCTTTTTCTTGTTTTGCTTTGGTTTTGAGAACTTGAAAAGTGAGAGGTTCTTTTTACAAGACAAACCTTAATCTTGTAACAGTTTATCATTCTGTTTGATCATTCTCCTTGGTCTTCCACTCAGGAGAGGTATGGTTAATCAATCAAATTATAAACAAGGTTATCAAAAAACATGACAAAAGTACATCCTAGACATGAGGTGCAATTGTTAAAGCAAATCTGCAAAGAACTAATCACCAACAAAAAATTATTAATCAAACAAAGAAACTAAAACAGAACTGTAATCAAAACACTCTTTATAATAACAACTACATAAACTTAAATATAATATTAACAGAACATACATAAGCTGTTAATTCTAAAGGTGGCAAGCAGTTTTCTACACAGCACAAAATAACACTAAAAGCTATAACACGTCTCCAGAGAACATGGGTCTCATTTCAACGCTGACAATAACTACACATTATAATCATGCACAGGGGGATGCTGATACTCACTCATTCACTCACTCACTCACTCACTCATTCCTCATCTCTTCTCTCTCTCTCTCTCTCTCTCTCTCTCTCTCTCTCTCTCTCTCTCTCTCTCTCTCTCTCTCTCTCTCTCTCTCTCTCTCTCTCTCTCTCTCTCTCTCTCTCTCTCATTTTTACTATCACTATCACTTTCATTCTTTCTCTTTTTTACTCTTATTTTTACTAATACTCACTCATTCATTCATTCATTCATTCTCTCTCTCTCTCTCTCTCTCTCTCTCTCTCTCTCTCT